CACTCTGCTTATATCACATCTCTGAGCCTTTCACCATCATATTGCTTTTTCCCATTCAAACACTGATTGGCAGTTAGATTCATTCTTCTCTGCCTTCATCTGGAGCCATAATCACTCTCATGCATTCTGGCGGTTTCCTCTGCGCGTCAGTCCAGTTGGAGCGTGAACAGTCTGAGATGCCAAATGTGGAAGAAGAGCAAAATGATGAGAGAAAAAGTCACAGTTTAGAGCAGTCGATGGAGTCTAAGAAGAAACAGAAAGTGAAGATGGTGAAAGGCAGACAGGGGGTGCAAGACATGGTGCCGCTGTGTTAATGATGTGTCCTGCCGAGTTCAAACCGAGACATTTTCTTATTTATGGAACAGGACTCTGGCAGTGTTTTAGAGGTCCTGCAGCCCCACTGTGGAGCTCTTAAAAGCAGGTAAAGGCGTGGAAGTGAAGGGACTGATGAGACTTAACACCCCAGGACGGAAACTCTAGGGTGGAGTTGGAAGTTCTAAAGAATCCCTTGGAACCCTGGTGAAAGTGCAACACTAACAAACCATAAATCTTCATCTTTATATCTTTTATTTAAACCTTTTTCATTGGTTTAGTTCAAATCTAAACCCACCCACCAAGTTTAACCTATAGCGCTGGCACAAATTCCCAAGCTTCACCCATCTACAGTAAGTTCTGTAACTTTGCACCATATTTGGAAAGATTCAGGTGGATTCTTTTCCATCTCTTTGAAAACATGATTCATCAGGCAACTATTTTATTATACATTTTCATAACAAGCTTTTGTTAATCCAGTATATAAATGGCTGTCAAATAGCTTGAAGGAAGGCCTGATTAATAACAAACAATGTTTTTGGATGTCCACCCATATAGTAATCCCTTAATCCTGGGTACACTTAGAAATAAAGGTCCTTTCGATTTTAAAGTACCTTCTCTTATGCCAGTTTAATGTGCAAAGACAACTATAAGTAAGCCATTCTTGGTTGGTTTCTTAAAAACCTGTAAACATAGAGAAACACAGGTGTCCCAAATGCAGCATGAATTATATACAAAGTACACGCTGAAATATATATTTTATATGCATTGAATCAGAGCGAGGAACTCTTGGAACTGTCCGGATAGATTTGCACAGTGGGATGAAGCTGTCTCTGTGGATAACATACTGATAGGTGTTTGTACTCACATCTGGTGGAACGTTCCTCCAAAATTCCATCAACATTCCTCCAATGTTCCTTTATTCTTGACGCAGTCATCCCACCAAAAAACATTCCGATTACAGAACCCTGGTTACAGTGACGGGTTTGGCCTTATTTGCCACTTGCCCTTAAGTGCCGGAAACAGTCCCACATGTGTGATCATTCCTATCATTGTACATTTTTATGAAGGTTGTCAGTGGGACGTAAATAGTGTTGAGGCTTTGAAGCATCATTACTGGTGCATATCCAGAACGGCAATACAGGAAACAATTTGTCATCCCCATAAACAATGCATTTTTATGTCAATAGGTAAATTAGCACACAGGCATTTTTGCGAATGCAGACCTGCCTTTCGATAATCTGAAAAAGATGCTTCTCTCAGTTTCTTGGATCCAAAAACTACAACGGAAAATGTCATATTTCATTTTCCTAGCTATATCCTCAAACGAACTAGGGAACACATGCTCCGCTAACTTGCAGCATAAATGGTGTAACTTGCAAATTTTTAATTCTATTAATTGAAATTACTCAATTAATTAGGCATTTTTTGCCTTTATTATGACGGGACAGATCAGAACTGACAGGAAGAGAAGTGGGAGAGAGATGGGGGCGGGATCAGGAAAGGTCCTCAAGTCGGGATTCGAACTCGGGACGCCCGTATTGCAATGGGGCAGTATGTTGGCGCGCTGCCCACAAGGCAATTGATTTAACTAATTTTGATTACAATATCAAGGGAAATAATTGACAATTATATTTACAATTATATTACTGTACTTAATTGTCAATTATAGTACTTGTAAATAGTATTATTATACTGTAATTACATAATTGCCAAGTATAATAATAATTGACAATTATATTATTCTATAATATAATATTTTTATCATTATAATTTTTAATTCATTTAATTGTTTTATATTTGTTTTTATATTTAATGATTATAAATATATATGTCTGCATGTATTTGTTAGTATGCCATTATGCAAGCATATTTTCAGGGATGTTAATATATTTAAGTATATCCATGTCCGTAGAAGTGGTGTAAGGTATAAGCAAACATTATTCAAACTATCTTTACCGTCATCCTGCGTTTATTTTTGCTTTTCGCTCAACCGTGGAGAATTTGTGGTTTCCCGAAATCCTCCTGGGTAGTTTGAGTCTGTTTCTTGTTCCAGAGTCCGTTTCACAAGAATACACACCTCTGCCGCCGTTATTCTTCCGCAGCCCCTCCAGTTCGCTCCCGGACCACCACCACCCATCCCCACACAGGACGTCCCGAGATATGTTCCCTCTCCCTGCCAATGCTGTGCTCTTGGAGGGAGGGGTGGGGACAACCTAATTGGCCCATATTAAAAGGCAAGTTTAAGTCCAACAGAGAAAATGTGCTGCATGAAAAATATTATGATGGTTCTGGGAGATCAGTCTGGCATGCTTGAGCGCAAATAGCCCCCTCTTCTTCTCTCCCGACTCCGTCGCACATGCGCGCTTGAGCCCTGCGCCATCTACCAGCACACACCGGCCCCTTGCTCTTGATTAAGGGTTGCGGTTTGACACATGTTTAGAGGAACTCATTTATAAGGGGAAGCACAGTGTAACAAATAGCCTCCTGTTCCAAACAAAAAATGCTTTATTTTTCCCTGCTAGGGGTATGACATCTAAACACTTGGCTAGATGGAACCCATATGTTTTACATATCTACATAACACATGCATAAGTTGGTGTATGTTGGTGTATGTGGCTTTAGACTATTTTAGGGTTGATAACACATTTTACAATAACTATTTTTTTAATCTGTAATCATACAGTACAATAAAGAATATTAGTCTGAGAGATGGGAGTACAAGGACTCATTTCTACAATCGAGGTCATCATTAGTCAACCGTAGATGACACGATTTTGAACGCCACCCTAATGCGTTGCAGATACATCTGACTGCTGTTTTGAAATGCTATGGTTTTGCTCACAGTAACATTTCATTTGGAACGTCTCTCCCAATTTCACTTCTGAAAACTGGATCTAATTACGTGCCGAACGGTCTGAGCACAAGAAGAATCATTTGGGAAATCGAATATACAGTATACGCCAATCTATGGCCAACCATTAGATGTTTGTTCTCAGTGAACTGATGAGGAATTTGGGAGCATGTTTCTTTGCTTATTCTTGGTAATGAAATTCATCGCTGCGGTGGGACAGCATTAAAGCTGCTATGTAGCAATGCAGCCTGTCCAGACACACAGGAATTAAACCGCATCTCTCTACCACACATAACGTATGACTTTGAGTGAATATAGTCACTGCTGTGTTGAAGGCACAAAAACATATGGACCATAGCTTATATTGTGTACTCTGTATACCATTTACTATTTAAAAAATAAATAAATAACACCACACCACCATAAACATTTGAGACAGTAGTATGCTATATTGTTGACACAATACCTCATTATAATGTTACAAGTTTCACGTCTCAGAAATAAAGCAGTTTTTTTTAAAGCATTTTAAATCTAATTTTACTGAAAAAATATCATGACTTTTTGCAGTCCAATCAAATAATGAGTAAAAACAGATGTTTAAAAAAAATAAATAACACCACACAACCATAAACATTTGAGACAGTAGTATGCTATATTGTTGACACAATACCTCATTATAATGTTACAAGTTTCACGTCTCAGAAATAAAGCAGTTTTTTTAAAGCATTTTAAATCTAATTTTACTGAAAAAATATCATGACTTTTTGCAGTCCAATCAAATAATGAGTAAAAACAGATGTTTAAAATTGTGGCTTACATTCATTACAGTTTATTTCTCACAGGGAAATGGAAAGTCAAGTAAAATACATTGCATTGTGGGATACAGTATTCTGTACATTTTATGTAAGTGTTAGGAGTTAACAGTAACGTATTGTTCATGGATAAAAAAAATACTGTGAAAAGTGAAATTACAATTTATTTTTAATAAAAATATATTTTTTAAAAGAAACTTATACTTACCTGCATTTATTTGTTCAAAATGTCAGTAAAAACGTTAATATTGTGAAATATTATTACAATTTAAAATGTGCTTTTTTCAAATATAATTAATTCCTGTTATGCAAAACTGAATTTTCCGCATCATTACTCCAGTTTTCAGTGTCACATGATCCTTCAGAAATCATTCAGATATGCTGATTTGCTCAGGAAACATTTCTGATTAATAAAACATTTCTTATCTTTGGAAGTTCAAAAGATCAGCATTTAATAAGTCTTTACTGTCAATTTTGATATATTTATTGCATCCTAGCTAAATTAAAGTAATAATTTCTTTCTTCTCAAAATGTTGAATTTTAAGTGGATCTAAGGAATATTTTAAATTGAGTTTGACTTCCTGTATTTTTTCTTAATCTAAGATAACCTGACTGTTTTTGTATGGTGATACTTTTATAAGTTTGCAGCTTGTTTCAGCATTCAGTGAAAGCTCCTGGTTGAAGGATGACAAATCCTATACAATTGTTTTACTTTCTAGACGTCATATTTCAGATGATGTATGTAGTCCAACAGCTGTGTGTGTTTTAGGGGGATGCAAGTGTATTTGTTTGAGTGCGTGTGTGAGGTTGCGGATCAGAGACTCTGGCTGAGCTCTCCCAGGCTCTCGTTGTGTGTAAATGAATTATGAGATGATCCATCAGCAACAAAGAGCTCCACTGACATCAGCATCTTCACACTCTCGAATTTCTTTCCCATCCCTCGACTTCTTGCTATCCCGATTCTGAAGCGAGGTGATTGAAAATCATAACCATGTGCCTATTTTTTTGTTTTTCTCTTTCAGTGACAGGCACAATGTTTCTATGTCCATCCCTGTCCCTCTAAAGTCTCATCTCAGCGTTTCCACCGCATCCGAAGTGGGCTTTCCAACCCTCTCCAGCTCCCCTGAACGGGACGTCCGGAAGCAGACTGGCTCAGATGCGGATAAACAGAAATACCAAACCCCTCCGCCTAGTTACAACACAGCCATGACTCAACCTGATCCCATGATGACTCCTGAAGTCCCATCAGCGCCGTCCACAGAGATAGTGAGCACTGAAGTAGGTAAGACTGTGGATACACATGGGGATGGAGAGACTGTGTCCGAGGCACATACGGAGAAGCCTCTGGAAATACCTATGGACATAGCCAGTACATTACCGTCTGACTCTGTCCCTCAGCACCCAGGAGCCATGAACGGCTCGGCCGTGCCCAGCGAGGGTATAGGTTCGGGTGTTGCGGGTGCAGCCGAACTTTGCTGCTCTGTGGAGCAGGCTGAGGAAATTATGGGCACTGAAGCCACAGGGCTGGGATTGGGACTTGGATTGGCCAGACTGGACGATTACCCGTGTATTCCCGTGGAGCACGCGGTTGCGGTCGAGTGCGACGAACAGGTTTTGGGAGAATTTGACGCCGCTGGAATCGAAGAGGTTTCACGGCGCATCTATGCACTAGAAAACATGTCAAGCTTCCGACGGCCTCGGAAGAACTCAGAAAAATGACTGGGATATTGGACGTGGGCCTGGAGAAACGGGTCAGAGGGTGACTGGTGTCCAAGTTGGTCGGTGACATGAGGCTGAGCCTGCGTAATATTTCACCCTGACTGCAACAAGTATAGACATTACATAAAGAAATATATTATAATTAATATTGTTATAATAATTATTAATATTATTAGGAAAAATCTGGAATATTGACCAATTTGCACTTCTCGAAGCATTTCTATAATCCTTTCAAATGAAATAAAGATAATGTTTGGTTGAAATGCTTGCTGGATGTCTTTCTGAGTGTATGGATGTGCAGTCTTAATGGGATATTCCACCTAAAAATGAAAATTGTGTTATTATTTACTCATCCTCATGTCGTTGTATGACTTTCATTCTTCTGTGGAACACGGAAAAATATTATTTAGAAGAACTGGTTTGGTCCATACAATAAAATGATCCATCCGATGATGTTTTGAGGATGCAACTTTCAGTGAAAATCACCATTTGTGTGATTCATTTGATATTTGAAAGCAAAGAAATTATGACAGGCATAAATATTAGTTTTATAATTTTACTGCTGTTCTGTTCTGTAAAGTAAAATAATAATAATAATTAATTTTATTATATACCTTTTTTTTTTTTTACATTTTACATGTCCATTGTATTATTATTGTAAATTAGTTTTGTTTATTAGTTTAATTTGTATAATTGATAAAACATATTTAAATAATAATAATATATACAGTTATTAACAGCAATAGTTAAACAGTAATTATTTAAATTATTTATTAATGTTGAATGGGTTTGATAAAAACAACTATGTGAATGATGTGTCTTAAGACAACTAACATAGATTTTTTTTTTCATTAAAAAAATCAATAAATAAAATAACAAAACAAAAAAAAGCTAATATTTTTAAGCTAATGTTTTTTTTTCCTGACTTTCATTATATGGACAAAAAAAAAAAGACACGTTTTTAAATGCCACTTTTCTTCTGTCTTCCAAAAGAAAGAAAGTCACACAGGTTTGGAACGACATGGTGATGAGAAATTACACAATTTTCATTTCTGGGTGATCTAGTCCTTTAAATGCCACTCAGTATTACAGCGGGAGCTCTGGTGTGCCAGTACCAACCTGAGAGCAAAGCCCGATATATACCAGGCTCTGTGCCAGGAAAAGAACGGCTGTTGGTCAGGGTGGGCAGAAAGGGCGAGGAATGTCCGTGTACCAATGACACCCTTTCTCATGCTGCACACCCGAGTCCTGCTTCCAGAAGATGAAAAACATGCGCGCACACATTGTGCAAACCCCTTTTTTTTCCAGCCTGACCATTGTGAGAACTTGTATTCTCTCTGATTTATTCACCCAGAATTATAAACCCTGACAACTGTGCTTCACAGTTTGATGCTGTGTCAACACTGGATGCGAGCGGCACGTCACCACGTAACAAAACTCAATAGCTCCTATTATATGCAACAAAGCTGTCTACACTTGATGGGTTCATTACTTCATATTGTTGATGGCCCGATTCTATTTTTGCACCCAGTTCTCAATTTTTTTCAACTTTTTGAGTGCTGTATAGCCACTCCAGCTCTATTTTTCCCATTTGTATAATAAAATAGTTTCATTTAATTGATCATCATTTGATTGCAATTAATTTACATTGACATTCAAATGAATTCTACCAATACACTAAGATCTTGTAAAATAACTTACAGTATACAAAATGAAATTTTATACAAATGTGAAAACGTGCAATATCAGTCACTTCCAGTGTGAACAACAGGCTTGAGAAGGTTTAAGCAAAATCTTCAGGGTTGCTTGGTCTTTATTCCAAAAATTGAACTTTTTCCTTGAAGGTCCTTTAATGCCAATGAACTTTCCCACTGTGTACAGTTATTCAGATATCAGAAAAACCAAAACGCAAATGATGTGCTGTTGAAGAGGAGCAGGATGGCCGTTCCTCTGCATTCACTGCAGTTCTTTTTTTTTTCTTCATTATGGCACTGCTCTTTAATGTAATGTCATCTAATAACAATATTCATCCACTTTCAGAAGCCATTTGTATGTGCTTTTTTCCCCAAGCAGTATTCAGCACTTATAGTTTGGTGTCTTTTATTCCAGGCATACACAAGTGTCAGGTCCTCTTCCATAAGAATCACATGAATGTATTAATCAGTCTTAAGAAAAGACCACAGTGTTGTCAGGAAGGACTAGTAATGGTTGACTTCTGCATCATTTCATCCTGGCCTGAAACTCTTCTTTGATTTCCTGTCTATTGTTGATTTTCCTTGAATGACTGTTGATACATGTTATATTTAAGACGAATACAAAGAAATGCATTTCCATAAATTGCTGTGACACTGTACATATACTTTTGTATGAAGGGTGTTTTATTATTAAAGACCACAGTTTAATGATATAAATGAACAGTTCAGTTGTCTTTTAGTCTTGTCTTGTGTTTTAATAATTAATATTGAAATTTTGAGAGCCCTATAAATACTATATCAAATAATTGTATTATATTACATTTAAATTGCTTATAGAATGTATAGGGCTGTCAAAATTTCCCATTCTGCTTTCGCTCTATAAATGATAGATTATGTGTTATTCTGTGACAGATATAATTGTTTGGTACTGTTGTTCTCACAGAGTGCTGCCACTTAAACAAATCGCTCTGCCGGAGACGCCTCATAACCACAGATAAACAACGTTCTGTCTCCGAAGACAGAGGAGCTGTGGAGTGAAGACTCTTTCAGTCTCTGAGATCCGTCACTGTCTTTCTGGACAGCTAATCCACTGCAGGTGTGAGGAATTCTGGGATTGAAGGCAGATCCAACAGTTGGCTTAACTGGAAAATCACGTCACCCCATCTTAGACACAGCAGAGAAGCAGGTGACGGCACTGCTATGGCAACAGAATTGCTGGAATGTGTGAATGCATCTGAAGTATTATTATGGGCTGGGGAGATTGCATTAGAAATCTTCTTGAACTTTTCATACTGTCATAAAAGTGTCCCTGATTTGGCGCAGCTGAAACTGACAGGGTCTGGTTTGATTCTGGTTTGACTTATTTGAGCCATAATATGTTCTGTTTTGGAAGAATGGCCACAGTCATGCTTGAGATTGAGATTTTTTTGTATACGTTCAGTGCTGAACACATTGTCGATTTTGATAAAATACAAACTTTTGGTCACGCATTTTTAAAGTCCAATTCTCACTATTAACAAACCATTAACTGCGACTTTTGCCTCAATAAACTCCTAATTTGCTGCTTATTAATAGTTAGCAAGGTAGTTGTTAAGTTTAGGTATTGAGTAGGATTAGAGATGTAGAATATGGTCATGCAGGTTATGTGCTTTATACACATACTAATAAACAGCCAATATGTTAATAAGCAGCTAGTTAATAGTGAAAACTCGTCCCTCTACTAAATGTTACTGAACTTTTTCACACAAAATCTGAATACTAAACAGTGCAGCATTCAAAAGCATGTGTTGCAACAAATTTGGTTTGAAAAGACCTAGTTAATGCCGTATTAACGCAATGCAACTCCATCTTGAACTCGTTCTAGATCTGCTGTGTGTTAATTCTGCTCAATCTGTGCTGGAGTTCAATCAGTCCAGTCAGTTTGTGTGTCTGTTTTTCTGTTCCTCCTCAGCAGCACCTCACAAAAGAGTCCAGCACCCGATGGCCTCAGACATCACACTGCATGCTCAGCCTGTGCGCGATACTGTAAAAGCTTATATTTGAATTTCAACTGAACAATAACCCTTCAGACTCCCCACAACACCTCTACATGACGTGAGTGCGGTGTGAAAAGGGAACTGTTTTTTGAGTTCTCTCAACAACTGTCATCAGTAAGGCTACTTGGTTTAGCTGATTTGAATTTGCTTGTTCGCTAACTGCAAAATTCATTCATTGTCATTATCATTGTAATCTTGTATATGGTTTTATATGACACTTGGTGTGAAGTCTAAAAATCAGAAATATGACACTACTAAATATATGTTGTTATTTAATAATTAATATTTTTATACATTTTATTTGATCTTTTTGAAAAAAGGTTTTGTATTTTTTTCTTGCTGCAATGCATGCCGGAAGATGAGATTGTTTAGCTCTGTTAGGATGATTTGGGACAACATTTGAACAGATACTGTTGGTCTAATACGTGTTTTGATGTAGATTAAAGGAATATAAATTCACCCAAAAAGGAACATTTGCTGAAAATGTACTCATCTTAAGGCCACCCAGATGAGTTTGTTTCTTCATCAGAACAGATTTGGAGAAATATAGCATTACATCACTTGCTCATCAATGGATCCTCTGCAGTGAATGGGTGCCGAGTCTAAACAGCTGATTAAAATATCACAATAATCTACAAGTAATCCAAACAACTCCAGTTGTAATAAACAAATCAATCAATAAAATGTTTTTAACTTCAAACCATTGGTTTCGGTTCTCTATTAAGTTCTCTATTATTGCTTTCTTCAGTGAAAAGTGGTCTCGTCTGAATCAGGAGAGAAATATGCACAGATCAAACACCATTTACAAGTGAAAACAGTCCAAAACCGTTCTAAACAAATATGTTGGTGGATTTTGGTGCGAGAGGACAACAGGAGTTGGACTTTTTCAGTGGAGGAAGCATTATTAGCACTTTAATGATGGATTTGTTTCTTACAAACACAGCTTTTCACTTACAGTGTGGCTTGTGATATCGGTCATTCCTGTGTGTGTCATTAGCCGAGCCAAATAAACAAGAACACAAAGTCAGAGTAATTATAGCGGCAATGGATTATGATTTAAAAAAAATACTTTTTATAAAAGCCACATGTTTCTAATCCATGATGCAGCTGCTAGTTTTATGACTCCACATCTGCATGCAGCAATCTATTATTATATTTGACTTAGTATCGAAGTGCCTCAAAGTCTCAGAGTCTTATTTAAGGCCAATCCGTCTCGCCATCCAATCAGCTGTCACCGCCGTCAAGGCTCCCAACAGAACAAATCACTTCTCGAAAGTTCTTGGCATTCTGGACGTGTTGCTCAGTTAAGCCTCATTGCTTAAAATCACATCATGTTTTTATTCAAAAGCCGTAATGAGAGTGAACTTTGCTTGTTCTCCCTGTCTCTCCGCAGTCTCGTGTTTGGCCTCTTGAAATGCATTTGAGTGGAACGGATACTATTGGATCGATATCAGTATTTAAATTGGACCGATTTGGGGCGCGTAAGCTCCAAAGAGAATAACAGTCAGGTGACCGTGACCGCTGCTCCGTGACCTCTGCTGGAAACCAGAGCTTTGACACAATGGCCTGAGACTGACGTCACCTCACTACACCCCGACAAGCTCGAATTCACATTTTGTGTTAAATGAAGACTTTCGCACTGTGCAGTTTTCTATAATTACCTTTAGCAGGTGCCGATGACGTAACTGACACCAGACGTAAGAGTGGACAACATGGAAAACTCCCTAAATTACAAAAGACTAACCTTTGTTTAACAATAGGTAACAAAATCACCGTAATCCCTCTCATAACGGCAAAGGC